TCGCTCCTCTCTTGGCCATCGGGAGACTTTCTGCGCTTCCTTGCCTGGCGACTGATGACGCTCCCGTCGCTTTGACGGCTGATAGGTCCCGAAGGTGGAGGGGGCGGTGCTTGGTGGCCGGAGGTCTTTTTCCCAGGGGGACGAGCAGGGGCTGAGCCCAGAAAGTCCCCGTCCGGACTTGGAAGACGAAAGGTCCAGATTTGGGGGGGTTGGGGGCTGCTCCCGAGGAAGAGGAGGCGTAGGTTTGGCGATGGGCTTTGGGGGCCGGCTGGTGGCGGGGATGATGGGAATGTTAGTCCTGGTCTTTTCCCGGAGGGCGGAGAGCGCTGCGGAGCCCCCAGGTGAGTGAATGCCCTTCTCCCCTGGAGGTGAGGATGATGGGCGGGGAGGGTGAAAGCAGCGGGGGGGCAGGAGACTGCTCTCAGGACGCCCCTCTTCTTCAGGACGGAGGGGCGAAGCCTTCCTGGGCCTCTCCGCTTCGAGGTGGGGGGGGAACGCACTCCTCACCGGGCTTCCTTCCTTTGCTGCCCCGTGGCTCGGGCGTGGCCCTTCGGGATTTCCTTCGCGGACTTTATGGGGTGGCCTTTGGAGATCCCCTAAAAAGCCCGCTAACAACCCTTCGACCGTCTGCCCAGTCAATATGGTCGAGAACCTCTCAGTTGATTAAACTTAAGGACCCCCGTTTGAGCCGGCAGGTGTCTCCTTCCCCTCCCCCGGAAAAAAATGGAATAGCAATGCTTTCGTTGTAGTTTAGTCATTTACTCGTGTCCAACACTTCGTGACCCCATGCGCCAGAGCACGCCAGGCCCTCCTGTCTTCCACTGCCTCCCGGAGTTCATTCATGTTGGTCGCTTCGGTGACACTGTCCGTCCATCTCGTCCTCTGTAGTCCCCTTCTCCTTTTGCCTTCACATTTTCCCAAAATCACGGTCTTTTCCAGGGAGTCTTTTAGCATCTCGATTTCTCAGCCTATAAGACACCATATTTATTTGGTTTTAAAATTAAAACTATTAATGATTGTTTACAAGACTGGGTAATTTCTTTTCCTTTTAATATGCCATTACAAAATTCTTTGAATTTGGAATAAGAATTTTTTTGAAAGTTTTGTAATATTCTAGGCCTAGTCTTTTTGTACCAGGTGTCTTCCCTACTTTTGATTTATTTAGTATAACTTCTGTTTCTTCTGTGATTTTTCTCTCCATTATTTCCCTATCCTCTTCATTTAATATTTTTTAAAAATTATTTTCCAAATATTCTTCAATCTATTCTAAAAAAGGAATTCTTGCTTATATATAAATCTTCATAAATTTTTTTGAAAAGCTTCTAGTTTTTCTTTGATTTTATTATTTCTATGGCCATTAAGATTCTTTAAAACTCTTATATTATCTTACCTTTTTTGGGGGGGGGGATGCTTTAGCCAGAAGCTTCGAGTTCTTATTATCAAATTCAAAGTCACCCCTCTTCAAATATATTAGATCCCTCTGGACCTTTTCCATAGGGTAACCCTTCTAGTTCCTTCCTTTTCGCTCGTAACTCCACCATCATCGCCTTTTCTCTCGTTCTTCTCGCCTTCCCCCTCTCCGATCCGAAAAGACAAGGGGTTATCATCACAGGGAGCCCTGCTTGGTGGGTTGGGGTTCCCCCGATGTATTCCAGAGGGGCCTCCCTCCCTCCCTCCCTCCACCTTTGGGAAGCAAGGTCTGTTATGGAGTGCCGGATCAGGGCCATTCGGTCCTGTCCCACTCAGAGAACCCCTGTGGTTGGTTCTTCAGCGACAGCCCCATTGTCCTCCCGCTTTGTTTTAAAGCCCCCCCCAACACACACACAGACCGACACACACACACACACTTTTCCTGGCCAAGGCAGAAGAGGATGGCTTCTTTGGGGGGGGTGCTTGGGGGTGGTGGGGCGTTTTTAGAGGGCGATGGGGCTGACCCGATGTGACCTTCCTTCCTCTGCTCACCCTTCGCTGAGCCCCCC